ATTCCACATTGCATTTTGTGTTTTAAGGTTACAGGGTTACAACTTAATGGATAACATCCTGGCAGAAAATGACTAGTACTTTTTCAGTTTTTCCACATATTTTTTCTTACAGTGTACCTAACTGAACAACAATTATATATACAAGCTAATAACATGCTGTATCATAAATGTGCATTTATTATTGACCAATTGGAACTAGCAACTTAATGCACATTTGATTTTTTTACTGTTAGGCATCTTTTTCCAGCTCTCTCCAGGTTGATGTGCTGCTTGGCTGGCTAGCTGTTCAATGGTTTCCTCTTTTTGTGTAATTTAGTTGAAAATATGTGCCTTTTTTATCATTTGAGTCACTTTACCAACGTTGCTAAAAGTTGCCAAATACTTTTTTAAAATAGCTAAATTTGTTGCTAAGTGCTTTTTGAAAAAAAAAAGTTGCTAGGGTAGTCTGAAAAGTTGCTAAATCTAGCAACAAAATTGCTAAGTTGGCAACATTGGCACCTTCTGGCCTCTGTTCTCAAGGCAGGTGATGAAAGAAAGGGCAGACCAGATGAGTCGATAGTGTTTTTTCCTGCTGCGTATGAGGACCACTCCAGTGTGGGCGTTCAGGTATTTCACTACAGGAGATTTGACAAGATTTTAGCTTTCTGTAATGAGACATTGAACTGAGATAGCCTAAATAAATGTGATATCATGATACGTAATTGCGCATTAAAAATAACGGTAACTCGAGCACCAGTCTGTTTATTTCTTAATGAGCACAAAATAATAAGAAGCCCAGGGTTTACCCATCACCCCAATGTTGAAGAGCGCTGATCCGTAGTCGCCGTGCGCTCGGCTGACGGCTGCTCTGAGTGTGTGCTAGATGGTCCTGTCCTCCAGCAGCTGAAGCCTGCTCCGCTAGCAAACCTCGCAGAGCAAATACCTGGACGGGTCACAGAATGACGAGAGGTCAGAACTGTTTAAAAGTTAACAAAAACATTTGCTAAGTAACTTTTTTATAAACATTTGGATTCTAACACATTTTAAACAAAGAAAGGAAAAATGTCTGCATGTGTGTTTGCAGTATCATGTATTGTGGTGATGCTAAAAGGTTCGCATGACATGTAATGAATGATTATCTCAAGCAGAGTCTGTGTATCATAACATTGGTTTTAATCACATCATTTTATTCACATCGACTATATTGCAAAATTATTATTATTTTAATTGATTGTCTATTCTCTTTATTATTATATATTTAATTTTATTATGTCAAATTATATGTTATTGTGTGTCTGTACTTTTTCTTTGCTATGGAAGCTCCTGTCATCAAGACAAATTCCTTGTGTGTGTAAATACACTTGGCAATAAAGCTCTTTCTGGTTATGATTCTGAATAATGAAAATGTGTGTGTAAATTTTTTCCAGTTGAAACATTTACAGATATACAATCATGTTGAATTTCAGTCCCACAAAAATGCACGCCCTGAAAATACAATGCTTTAGAGTTAGGCACTGTTAATGTATTATTATTATTATTATTGCAATTTATTTAATAACATATTACCTGACAGAGGGCGCTATACAACAGCGAACACTTTACTTGATATTATATTATATTATATTATATTATATTATATTATATAGTGACAATACAACAGTTAATTCTGGTCCTTGAATTTAATTGGCCAAATGTCTTTTCAAGAGTGCTGATATTTAGTCCAACAGCACTGGGATTTGCATCACTCGACTTGTACATGTTCATAGCGTTCCAGATCAGAGTATGAGAGTGGTGCAACTGGACAGAAAAGCCCATATGGGAGAATGGGGGTTTTCACAGTCATTTTCACAGACAGATCACTCAGAATAAGTCAAACAACACTTAACAAATCAGCTTTCTCACACAATCTCCGCTCCCAGAGCTGTAGGCAACATATTTTGGCACATATGCTCTGGTCTAGATGACTCCTGGCACTGCCAATACATTCCAATCTTTAATCCTTGAGATGGCATGGCAATATAATTTAATTGGCATTTTAGACCGCTGACCTTACTGTAATTCCAGTCCAGCTTTTTTGGGCTAACACTGTAAAAACTGGCTACAATGCTAAGCAGCATGCTTTATAGTTTACATGCACAATACATTGTAAAACACTTTACTGAATAGTAAAGATGACTCAGATGAGTGAGTATATCAAACCTCAGCTGTGTTAACAGCGCAGCTGATGTTGCTGATACAACCAGAGACAGATGTCTTTCAACAAAGTTTTTGGACAGACAGCATGACCGTTATTTCCTCAGAAAACCATGACATTTGTTTCAAAACTGACCCTGATAGGGTGTGTGAGTGTGTTTTGGGCTCGATGCCTAGTATGGTAATTGGAGTCAAGTTCTGCTGGGGTTAAAAACAATGTATGTCTGCTTACACAGCTGTAGCACTTAAGAGCAGCCCTGTTGGTCCCAGAGAAACATGCCCTACCCTCTTATGGCTGGGTCTGAGGGTGTGTGTGTGTGTGTGTGAGAGAGAGAGAGAGAGAGAGAGAGAGAGAGGTCTTGACTCATTGTAAATGATAGTCACCAACTCAGTAACCCTAACTAATTGTGTTATGTTGTGATTTTTTTTTTAAACGTCTTTGTTGTTGGTTAAATGTATGAAGAGGTGAGGAGGTTAAAACAGCATAGGCAGGGCTGTGATAACAAAAACCTGTTACTCATGTGGGATAATTAACTGTGAAACCTAAAAATTGGTGTTTAAAAAAAGATCACAAACTAATGTGACAAATGTATTTGTTCTTTAGGCATTCATCTGCCATCTAGTAGAGGGTTTATTTCAAAAACATTTTTGATGTAATATCTGATTTGGTGTAAAAATCAAGTAAAAAGAATAATTTCATTGCGGCCGGCGGGCTTGCGGCAACCACATGTGACGACCCCGGGCTGGACTCCGCTTCGTCTAAAGTCTAAGTACTAAAATTACTAATGGAAATAAAAATAAATCAAAGCTAAATCAAAATATTAAAAGCACTAATTGTGGCAACTAAAAGTGTCAAAAGCAAAAAACGAAATTACAAAAATTTGAACTAAAATGAAAATGAAAATTGAAAATATAAAATAATATTAAGAAACACTAAAATATAATATTATATAAATAATACTAAAATGGCAGAGGAGTATACACATCTTAATCATTATTTTAATTCAAATATATGTAAATATATTTACAAATAAAAATAAAGATTTTTCAAAATCATGAATTCAAATTCTTTATTAAATTCAAAATCATTATTAATGACTACATATATTTAAAAATGCATTTAATGTATTTTTAATAAATTATTAGATCGGTGGGGAAAAAGCATCATGTAATTGACCCTAAAACAAGAGAAAAAGATACTTTCACAAGATTAGATTTCTATAGCAGTGATTTTCTTTAAAATCCAACTTCAAAACCATTAAACATTAACATGTAAAGTATACTATTATTAGCACACCATGCAGAAAATGAGAATAGGTCTCGGAAAGGATGCCAGGCAGGTAAGTTTAATTCAGAGGATTCATAAACAATCCTAGAGTTACCCATGAGAGATCATAAGAAGAGCAGAGAAACAAGGATGGAGGGATGAAGAATTATAGGGTTGATGCTAAAAGAGAACAGAGGCATGGAAAGGTCAGCCGCTGTGTTTTGTTAATATCGAACTCTATTGGTTGTAGTTTCATGGGACATTACCTCACACAACGCCAATTAAAGACTGAGGCAGTTCCTGTTTATGAAACTGTCGTATCACTTCTACCACAAGCTTTAAACTAGGAGTAACCGGGAACATCTGCATCCCATTTAATGCGTCACATCTTTTACCGAGCCGTCACGGTAATGATGGCCATAATAGCTGAAGGGCTGTCATATTTTTATCCAGACCAGACAGTGAACCTCAGAATGCTGCAACAATGCCAGTCTTCTTTTATATAGACCTTTATGTAAGACTTGATCTTTGACCTTAGTGTGTTCAGTGAATGAACAGGAAATGCACTGGTTGTGTGGTGAGTAAAATCTGGACTTTTAGTGGCCCTTCTGTTGGCAGCTACTGTCCATCCAGCACTATTATAACTCATGGCCTACCACAGCAGATGATGTTTGGTTAATGTTTATTTGCCAGCATGAACTTGGGCTATTTGCAGCAGCTTTGTGCAAAACATTTGGTTTCTCGGCATTCATTTTCAAGTGCTTTCTGCACTCTCTGTTAAATCAACAAATTATCGTTATTTTTTGATGTACATTTTGAATACATGGATTTTTAGCTGTAAAATGAATAGTTCTGATGCCAAATTTTGATTGGATAAGCCATTGTACATATTATCTAAAAGTGGCAAGTCCTCTGGTAACCGTAAACAGCATTCAGTTAGATTTATGAACTATGGGTGTGTCTCAATCAGCTCCCTAGTTAGTCAGTGCACTGTCCAGGGAGTCAGACATTTCTAGGTCAGTTCCACTTTCAAAATCGTTCCAGTTCGCTAACACATTCGTTCCATAAAAATTCCCACAATGCAGTGTAAAAGCTAGTGATCATCATACTCAGATGCATGATAAACAAAACAAGTCATACAAATCAAAACAAATCATGTGTCCTCCTGTGTTATACAGCATTGTTGATGATAAATAATAGTGATGTTTTAATGCACAAAAACTGAGTCATCAGTGTCCCAATGACTAGTGGATAAAAACCTTTCTGGTGCCTGAATTCATGTTCATACCATACAGAACTGGGCAGAGAAACAGCATATATTACTTACAAAAGAGCTGGTTATGCTGAACTATTAGTAATATATGTAACTCATTATTAAACATTGGTGATTTTTATTATATTGCTGTTGCTCTCATTGAATAAAAAAAAAAAGTTTTGCATCATGTCTACGAACACCCCTTGTCTGTGGTAAAATCACTGTAACTATACATTAATCACCCTCAAATTACATGGTGTCTTGAAATGAGGAGAGTGGCAGATAAACCATTGTGTAAAAGAAGTGCACTTAATTTTATTGAATGTGTACTTGTAGTGTACTTCAAATCTTAAAAGTATATTAAAAAACTATACTTGATAATATAATATTAATGAAATACAATGTCACTTAAGAGAACTTAAAGAGAGTACACTTTCATGTTTCTCAACACACTTAAGTACATTTATAAAAAGTGCTGGTTGTGCAGGTCTGTGTTTTAATAATCATTAATTAAGCTTTAAAGAAGCACACTTATTTTTTATGTGTAGATTTGCATATAATTGTAGTGTTATTTGTTCAAATTAAAATATTTTAAATGCACTGAAAACTTCATTATAAATGTCTAATTACAAATATATTTAAATGACACTTTAAGTTTCACTACAAATGACATTAAAGTATATTTTAGTTTGCCATATTTGCTTATCAGTACATTCGGCAGTACACAGTACAACCATATTTCAAAGACAATAGAAATTATTGACATAAATGATGAAATCACATATAAAGATGTACTTAAGTCCTACTTAAGTGGATCAAAAAGTGCAACTAATAGCATTTAATATAAATTTAAACTATAATACATTTTAATTTAATTGGAATTAACATAAAAAGTAAGTGTCTGAAAACATTAGATTCAGTTCACACTTAAGTTGAATATTATTTAAAGTGTTATTTCCATATTCTCTTTAAAAGTATGCTACAGTGTACTTTCACAAGGGAATACAAACATGCAATGGTTAAGAAAGCTTGCTTTATAATCAGGTAGCATTTAATGAAATCGCAGTCTGACTCTGTTGAGCGTGAACCATCTGTTTGACTTCCTCGGCCAGAATGTCTCACATCTCTTGGCTGTGCTGAGACTGAGAGCATGAAGCGATTGAGGTTCAGAGAGAGCTGTGACACATAAACAGCCTCAGTTGGAATGTAGCTGTGTGTCCCCAAAATCCACAAGTGCTCTCTAAGCTAGTTTGGGGCTAATTGACACGTCTGTTAATGGCATGTGTCTGTCTGTGTGTTTCCTGCTGGAATGGAGTGATGGAGAGTCTTGCTGTGTCTTCAGATCTAGATCCATTATTTTGTCTCAGTCTAAATGAGAAAGTGTCTTCAAGGCTGTGATAACTGCAGTTGGTTTGATACAATTATTGCACACTGATGGGATACATTACTCCATTGATTTATTATTTGTTTACAACTATAATCGGAGTTGTCAGACTTTTCTGACCCTGGGAACGACACCCAGACTCTACCAATCCAGCGACCCCACTAATATAAATTGTTAGCTTGTCTTGATTTGCTTGTATTGACTTCTTTTTTCTTGAAAACTGTTTTGAACATTGATAATAATAAAAAAATCTTGAGGAGCAAATCAGCATATGCTGTAAGCATCTGAAAAATCTGGATGCTGAAAATTCAGGTTTGCATCACAGGAATAAATTATGTTATAAAATATTCAAATAGAAAACAGTTATTTTAAATTGCAATAATATTTCACAATATTGCTGTTTTTATTACTGATAGATAGACAGACCCCAAATTGACCTTGGATCTAAATATTTTTTTTATTATTATTTTTATATATAGTTTAGTCATGAAACTCTAGATGGCGCAGTCTGATGTTTTGTTAACGTAACTGATGCTATTCAGAGAGTTAAACGACTTGGCACAGCTAATTGGTTCATGCTGCATATGCAGCCAATGAGCTTACTGCCTTGCATTTATATGGCTGGCTAGCATTCACTAGAGATCCCTGCAGCGCGCTTTCAGTGTTTCTCTGAAACCCTCCACCTTCCTCAACCCTCCACCTGTATAGATCTGCTACGGGTTATTTTATATGCTATTTGTGCAGCAGCAGTATGTCTTAAATACTCACGGCACTGTATCGCCGTGTGCATTGGCAGTAGCAAGTTCCTGTACTTGCTTGCAGCAGCAGCAGCAATTATCTACAACTACAGCAATAACCAACAGCAGCAGCAGCGTAGCAGATCTATTCTGCCAAGACTAAATACATTAACATTGTCATATCCATCACCATGCTAAAATCTTCCGAGAGGTGTCATGATTAAAATATGTTTAGCCGAATAATGAAGGCACACTTGATATGAACTGTGACCCTGGTGCACATCAAAGAGATCTTTGTCATTTCAGAATGCTCTAGACAGTTTCACATGTTTCTTTTAGTGTGGGATCATCTGGAATTCTAGCCATAAACTTGCTTTAGTGTTATTTCAAAGCCTTAGATTAAAGGAAGAAAATGAGCCGGCCACTGACAACACCTCATTGAAAGAGAGATCAGACTCATAATCTGAACTGCTTTACCAGGCATGAGGTTATTGGGTTAAGAGGCTTTTCAGGAAAGTGGCCAATGTTGACAAATGCTCCTGCCAAGTATTTTTGGAAAAACAACTCTTATCTCAGGATAGCAGCCCATTCCCTGTTTGGTCAGTTGTGACTGCTACAGTTAGACCAAATGTCAGTGTAGCAGGTTTAGATAACAAATGTGTTTGTTTGCATGACCTGCAACTGTTGGAATGCTATGTATTTAGTTAATTATATAGTCTATATAAATCTATATGATACAACCTTCATTTTAATGCAGCCTAATTAATTGTGTGGGGGGTTTTTTTGCATTGAGATTGAACTTTACTAAAGACTCTCCTTCATTGAATGGTGCAGATATAGATTTAATGCATATATGCATGTATTAGAGAGTATTTGGGAAGCTATAGTTTAGATTATATTAGATATCTTATAGAGAGCATACAAAGAACTGAGTATGCCTTGATGCCTGATGCACACCAAAATGACCATAACACACTCGTTCATTCTGGTTAACAAGGGCTCTTATTGTCAAAGCCCCCTATGCCTTAAACACAAGTGTTACAGGACTTTTCACCTAATTAACTCGCTTGAACAATAGAAGCTATTCTGGGGTAATTTCATCAGAGGTTGAAATGTGTTTTTGAGAAGTTGGGCAAATTACTGTCACAATAAATATTTTTTAATGTCCCCTATCAGTCTGAGCTTACACAAAAGAACAGCAGAGCTTTATTAAATCCTTCCACTTCAAGCTGACAGTGGCCCAGTTTTTGTGTGGCACCCCGTGTGCAGTATTGTGTGGTTGTCATGGAACTACATGATTAAAGTCTCCAGAAGGACTTGGACTTTAAGCCCTGTTATTAAGAGTTTTGATCCATCTCATATTTGTAGTGCCATGCTATAGTGACATGCAACAAAAAAAAAAAAAAAAGGAAATGTAGTGGTAATTTTCTGTCAGGACATTATCCATTATAGTATACCGACATTTCCGTTAAGTCTAAAACACAGTGCAATGCAGTGCAAAATTACAGGTAAAACACCTGCAAAAAATCAATACAGAAAATTCCTTCATTCTAATACAGTAAATTGTGCCCCATTTTTACAGATTTTTTATAGTAAAATAGGAAAATGTGTAAAATGAGGAAATTCATAGGAATTATTTTTCCTGTTCTCAAGTGCTGATTTGAAATATACTTTCTTCCTTTTTTTAATGCTGATTG